CATCGTTTTTTTCTTCCAAATTTGCAATAAATCAGAAACTCAAAGTATAGATCTTGCCTGTAAACTTACCATCCTTATTTTGGGTACATTCAAACTGTCTCATTATTTTCATTTTGAGTTTCATTCCAGATATAATATAGTTGAGTTCACCGTTTTGAGATTTCAGATCTTTCTTTACTTTCCAATAATAATTATTGGAAACTTTTACTAAACTTTCTAAACTGGCTTCATTATAATATTTGAGACAAATGGTTTCTGGTTTACTCTGAATCAGGATTCACTTATAAGTTACTAGCTTCGAAAGGAATGTGAAGTAAGGTAGTTGAAGTAAGTAAAGTGATTTTTTCATGTTCCCCAAAAGTGAAGAAATTCTCAAAATCTATTGCTTTGGAATTGCCCGAGAAAAAATATCCATTTACATCAATCTGTTGAATGTACTGTTTACTCTATTTACATATAACGAAAACATGAAAATTATGTTTCCAAAATAGAATCGTTTGCACTAGTTCATATATTGCTATGAAACTTACATAACCCCAAAATCACGGTTCAACAAGATTTAATTTTCTTCTTCTTCAATGAAAACTGTCTATAGAAAAGTCTGGGAAAACGTGTCCCCATTGCATTATACTCACTGAATACCAGTCCAATCTGAGACAGGCGAAACTGAACTAATGTACTGAAAACTCATCAGTGTTCTATACAGAAGTGTAATCTGTAATCAATCTGAGACGGGCAAAACTGAACTAATGTACTGAGAACCCATCAGTGTTCTATACAGAAGTGTAATCTGTGTAATTCTCAAATCTTCAAAATTTTACTAATTTCCCGGAACTGATATAAGGTAAGTATACATTTATTTTATAGTCAATTTAGTTTTTCCTCAATCGTTGAAGGCAGTTTGTGACTTTGCAAAATAGCATCAGATACATTTTTTTTATATACTACTTATTGTGTTATAAAATATGGGATTTCAACAATAAAAAAGAACTTTTCAATGTGTACTTTCATATTAATGTATTATTGAATATGGGCTCAGAGCTTCTATGATATGTACATCTGCTCTATCCATTATTNAAATCCAGATCTGATTCAAACTATGTTTTAAAAAGAGTCCAATAATTCTCATCTATTTTAATAAAAGTAAACATCAGGTTTCACGAATTTTCCTTCTCCCTTTATTTTCCATTTGCAAATAATTATTTTCAATTGTATATTTTGTTTATTATATTTATATTCATGTGAACATGTAAATTATATATTTCTTGTTTTGTTTTATACCAATACAGATTTCAGGTTTAGAATAGTCTCATTATCATTCATATTATTATTTAAAAGCACTTTGTTTATCACTATCCCATCTTAAAATACTTATTTTTTCAAACATGTAACAACTCAACATTGCTATTTTTTTGCTTGAATACCTTCTGTTACTTTTGGAATATCGGTTAAAAATGGCGCCCAGGTACGGCCTTTGCTTGTATCTCTATTCATAAATACTGTATTATTCTAGGAAGATGTATTTATGAATCTATGAGTCTTTCAGTTAACGTCTTTATATAGTCATATTTCATACTTCTGAACCAAATGTTTCGAAAGTAAAACGGATTGATAAACAACCGGTTTCTTGGACTCTTCATTTTTATTTAAAACAGTAAAATAAGCTATACTTCTACCTTTCAGTATACTGCTACTTATTTGAGAAATTAAAACAGTGGGCTATTATTTTGAATCAGTTAGCGTATTCAAATGAATAATATTGGATTCAAAATGAAAATAGTTATTTTTTTTAAATAAATCTGTTCATAATCCTTGATAGTCTTTAAGGCAGGAGACATACTTTTATAACTGATTGCGAAATGTTTGTGTTCTGCAGTGAATAGACAAAGACCTCAGAAGTATCAAACTCCTCAAAGCAGAACTGATGTGGTCTATACTAGATCCACATCATATTTCAGTTTATATTCTTTGTGAACAAACCACCCAAATTTGTTTTTCATTGGACCATTTTCGTCACCTTTCCTCCACTTTGCAAACTGCTTCAATTTCTTTATTAGAGTTGCTTTAGAAATATCTACTGTGAGTCCAGTTTTTTCCATGTGGCTTAGGAATTGTTCAACCAGCACAATTTTTTTATTGGTGTTTCCATGGGCTATTTTGAGAAATACTGGAATATGTTCAGGGTTGAGTTCCTTAGACATTTTTACTTTGGAATATTTAGGAGCAGTGGAAATTTCACTTCTCTTTTTTATCACAATTGGACCATTGGAAATTATCGCCAAAGACTGTAAGTATTTATCCAGTGCTTCATCTACATTGCTTCCATCTTTATTGTACCAGATGCAACCTATTGATCTTGGTTTCAACTTATTGGTTTTGGACTTCATGTCCTGATCAAATTCCTCTTTGAGCAGCTTGAGCTTTTGCTTCAGAGACTCGGGTGATAGTCTAGCTTTTTCTTCGTCATCTATCTCATCATCACTCAAGTGCCCGTGAGGCACAAAGAAATCATTATCTACCTCATAGTCATCTTTCTCTTCGTCGTTGTCTTTTTCTGCTTCATCCTCAGAACCGTTGAGGGATTCGCCTTGTTCCTCTTCTTCCCAGTCATCGTCAGAATCTTCTTCATAATTCAGGATCTCCTTGTCTTCCGTGAAAGGTTTTCTAGAAGTAATAACTTTGCTTTTTTTCCTCCAAGTGCCATAATAAGCTGGCCTACGATTTTCTCTAAATTTGAAAAACTTTGCCCTCACTTTTAGAAGGGTAGATTTATCTTCGCATATAGTTTCTCCCACTTCTACAATGGTCACATCATCTTCGACTGGTTCTTCATACGGCCATGTTTTGAAACTCCTTCCTATTGTTTTCCCACGTTTCAATTCTTTTAAATAAGTTTCTTCACAGTTTTGGTTCTCTAAATGAGAATCTAAATTGTTTTTCTCTTCTTCAGTCAAGGAATTTCTTCTAGGAGAGGGCAACTTCATATCAGATTTAATTTCGAATGCCATGAATGCTGCAGAGTGATACTTTTTTTCTTCCAGAGGACTGTCACTTTTCTTCGGAACAAAAAAATTGACAAACGCTGCAGCTGCTTTTTGTTTTTTCTCTTCCTCTTTGATCTTCTCCTTATTTTTTTCGTCAATTTCTTGTTGTTTTTTAATTTTCTCCTGTTCTCGTTCCTTCCGTTTCTGTTCATCTTTTTCTTCTTTTTCTTTCCGCTTCTGTTCTCTTTCCTCCCTCTCTTTTTTCTTTTGTTCCTCTTTTTCTTCTCTTTCCTTCTTCTTCTTTTCTTCCTTAATTTCCTTTTCTCTCTGTTTCTGTTCGTATTCTCGTTGCTTTTCTTCCTTTCTCTTCAGTTTCTCTTGCAAAATTCGTTCTTTCTCTTCATTCCTTTTCCTTTCCCTCTCCTCTTTTTCTTTTTCCCTTTCCAGGCGCTTCTTCTCGGATTCGAGTTTCTTTTTCGAACCAGATCCTTTTTTTGGAGTGTTTTCAAGTTGTTTCGATGTGTTCAATTTGTCGTCCGATTCATCCAGCACCACAACTATATCCCTATCAGTACTCTCCAAACATTCATCAGTTTTTTCTTCTGGTAGTTCTTCCATACAAACATCTTCAACTCCAGCAACCACATTTCCATTGCACCTTTCAGAGTCTGATTCTGTGATTATGTCATCTTTGTTATTTTTCTCATGATCATCAGTAATTACTTGATTCTCATTTAATCTCGTATCAGTTGCATCCCTACAGATGTTTCCTACATCCTCGATATGATCCTTTTCTTTCGTGTCAGCAGAATTTCCGGAGGAAGTGACACTGAAAAAAAAGAAATACTTTAAAAATTTATCAGGACTAAACGGCATACTACAAATAATTTTTGAAAGAATACCTACATTGATCATTAAAATAATTCTTGTTACTGACGTTTGATAAAAATTACAAATATAATTCATAATTTTCACTATCAATTACTTCTTACTGAAATGTAACATTGAGCAAGATACTTTATATACTGAAATAACAATAATGAATTATGAATGACCGATTCAATAAGATTCAACTTTTAAGAAAGAAAATCAATGTGATGAAACTCTTATTGTTGAGTGATACATACAAGGTCTGTTCAAAAAAATAAGGTGAATGTTCAAATTTCGCAGGCTATGTACTTTCCATTGGCCATTTTTTTAATGTTGCTTCACTCGTCTCGAACTTATGTTCACAGTTTCAGTTGTTTAGCATGTTTAGTTTGTTGGTGAGAGACATAATAGTCAGACGAAAAAAAAAAATGGAATTTAGTACTAAAAACACATGAAATGTTGATAGTGATGTCCAAGCACATCTTGAAAAGAGCCCGATGGAAGAGCCCAAGACAGCCAACACCAAAAAAAAACACGCCAAATTCGATCAAATTTCAATAAGTAGTATTATTTTGAATTATGCGCCGTTTGCTAGAAGCAATACGGCATTGTGGAAAAACAATTCATTGTTTTTGCATCACAATAATTCACCTGCTCACTCTTCATTGCTTGTTTGTAGTTTTTTGGCCGATAACAACAACGTAATCATGCATCAGCCACCGTATTCACCAGATTTGCCCCCTGCGACTTTTTCCTGTTACCAAAATTGAAGACACCAATGAAAGGACGGCGTTCTGCGACGATTGAGGAGATAAAAACCTAATCGCTAAGATAGCCCAAACATACCAAAAATGGCATATCAGAACTGCATCGAGGATTGGAAAAAGCGGTGGCACAAGTGTATCATATCTGAGGAGGACTACTTTGAAGGGGACAAAATAGAAATTCATGAATGAATAAATATTTTTTGAACAAAATGAAAATTCACCCATTTTTTTTCAACAGACCTCGTATGTTGAGTCAAATTCCCTGAAGAATCAACAAGTTTTTGAAAGGCAACAAAGAAATGGGCTGGGTTAGAGATGTTTCCCGGTTCCTGCTTGCCTTGATGAGAAAAAAAGCAAATGATAAATGAATTAGACAGGATAATAATCAAGACAATGACAATTTGATGACATTATGCAGACATTTAGAAAATATTATGCAGAATTCAGAACATTAGGATATGTGTTTATTATCTATAAACATTATTTTCAAAAGAGCAAAGAGTTTTTGAGACAACTAAATTTTTTGACATTGGGGAAACATTATAACTTCATAATTTTTTAACATAAAATCCAAACCAAATAGGTTGAATAGTCTGAGAGCTCGTATATGAAATTTATGGATAGTTAATTAGGTGGGTTATGTGTAATGATAGTCACGGAATGGTTTCATTGAAGGAGATTTCTAATTTTGTTTGGTTCATGTCAATATCTTTTAGAGATTAGATGTCAGAACTCCGATTGTTACCACAAAAGATGTTATTTGCTCATGTAAAAGTGGTCAACCAAAGCTTCCGCAATAGGTCAAAAAATTGATTCACACCAATAATAACAAAATATGAAATTGTTACAATTTTTGTTTGAAAACATATTCTTGTCTCTTAAATGGCCAAACGGGCTTCAAGTCATTGGGCTTGACCGTTTGAAAGATTTTATAAAAATAAACAAATCAGGCTACTAACAATCAACATATTAAAGTCCTTGCTATGTGAGTGAAGCTTCAGGAAAATTGATTTGAATGTTTCAAATAAGTAAGAACAATAATGAATCAAATTATAATAACAGGGGTACAATGGGTATACACGACCCAACAGATTAAAACATTCATCATTCAGTAACCAAGAATTGTAGATGAGACGGATACAACTTCAAAATGCATAGATTGACAAAAATCATTAGATACATGTAGTTGATCATCATAGATACTTTCATTAACGGCAACTTCTTTAATTGAAAAGAATTATAATTCAACAAACGTTTCTTGTTCTGAAATATCTGACGATATGATGACGAGATCAATTTTGTTTTCACATCAAGAATAGAGAAGGGATTTTGTTGATAAAAAATATATATTGGTTTTTGAACCCAAGTTTGAGGATATTTGTTCATACCCATAATAATGATGAAGTTGGTCAGGTCTTCCTCGATTTGTAAGTTGCCCATCATGTATTGAAAGATCATTATTTATTTTTCTCCTGCCCAGGTAGAAATCCAGGTGATGGTGAAACAGCTCAGCTCATGTGATCTTACCTTTAGTTGGGATCTTCGTTCTAGAAATTTCCAATTTCTGTCTATTCCTAGGTTCTTCCGGCAATCCAACTTTTTTGAATGGGATCAACTTCAGATTCACACTTTATTCACTTCAATAAACTTCCCTTCCTTGATAAGTCAGATTACATGCTAGTAAACTGAGCGGATTCTAGAATAGACTTTGACGCATATCGCTTAGTGGAAATGAAACACGTGTTTCCAAACTTTGTGAACAATTTTTGCAAATTGAAACCAAAATCTGGCAAAGCCTCATATGTTCACCTACCACAATGGGGAGAATTGGAATGGAATTGAACATACTGATAATCAAGGTGAATTAGAATCAATTAAAAAATATATAAAGTGAAGGATTTTATATTCCTAGCCAGAGCAAAGGTTGGTTAACATATTCATATTCCCTAACATTCAATCATATAGTTCTATTCACACAGAACAATTGTAAGTGAACTGTAATTGTATGGAACTAGATGTTGATTTAAATAACACATTATCCACTTCAATTGCGTGTTTTTTTTAATATTCACTGTGATGCAGAGCAGAAAACTGAAATAATCAACTCACTTTTGGTAATAAAAACTAGTAAAGTGACACGTTTACGGAATAAAAAAAAATCTATTTTACCAAAATAACCTTATTTGGAATCATATTGTAAACAATACCGCCACTTCCCTAGAGTTTTTATTATCATTTGTTGGAATATCACAAAAAGTCCAAGTCAAGAGAAAAACAATTTTTTGACGGATTTCAAAAATTTTACGTGTTTGGTAATTCTCCAGCAAATAACCACAACACTTCAAATGAATCTTCTTTCAATTGAAACAGTATACACATTATAAACATTGTTCCAGTACCCAGAGAACCAAAGAAAATGTCCCTTGTTAAAGTATCATTTTCTTTCACAAACAATTATCAAGGAAATTTTATTTCTATATGGAAAACAATGTGACATTTTTCTCATTTAAAAAACACGCATTTTGATGTAATTACCACTTGAGAGTATACCAAACCGCAATACTTGTTACGCTACACGATAGCTTCTTTGGGCACCATAATACTGTTGGTAAAAATTCTGTGGTTATCCTACTAATAATATCGCTTGTTTTTTTTTCAAGTAAACTCACTGAAAACAATAAAAATAAAACCTTAGTGTTGGATAGATCAGGAGTGAACAAGTTGACTTGTGGTTCTGGTCTTGAATTTTATATTGGCCAAACCGGAAGGACTACCTCCAAATAATGAAAGACCATAGAAGTAGTTTTTTGAATGAAAAGACTAATTCAACATTTGGAAAAGAAGGGTTGGCAATCAACCTTTGTGAATGTTCAGAAATCGCTAGATGTAAAAATTCTGGATTATGGCTTAATGGTCAAATAGATTTGAATTGTCCCCCTTCATTGAATTTAGTTTGAAATGGAAAAATTGGCAATTAGGACAGATATAGCGTCAAATCATTCTTTTTTTAATCATTTCTTTTCAATCCCTTGAATCTTTTCAGGTGTATTCCCATTAAAATAAGTATTTGTTTGTTAAATTTAATCATCCAGATATTTGATAATCTTCACTAGGATCGATCCCAATTAACTTTGACACTTGGACTTGAATTCGGATAAGTATTCAGACAACAAAATTAGGTAAGTCCAATAAATAACTTGTTTGCCTCTGATATACTGAAAAAGATTCAATTTCAAGTGAAAATTGTAAATTTTCTCATCAAATCCATAACGTTGAAATAATTTACCTACAGGGTTACTGTGAACAATATGTTTTTCAAATAAAACTCTGACCAGAACTTTTTACAAAGAGTAATTATATACCTCTCAGCTCTAGACACTAAAACTTGTCTGTCGACCACATCAACTCCTTTTTCCGAGATTGTTACTGACTCACCTCAGATTGCTGTTTTGCGATTCAGTCTTTACATCGTCATACTTCTTGCGTTTGTAATCACAATCGGAGCGATCACGAGAGCGTGATTTAGATTTCGACCTGGAGCGAGAGTGTTGCCTCTTTCTTGAGTTTGGCATCTACAAAAAATAATGTATAAATCACTCTCAAGCACAAAAGTTTCACAAACATTTTCAAAGCATAAATATTTGTTGAGGTGAAGATAATCTGTTTGTTTGTAGTAATTTAGTGTAGGCATTTTTAGATCTTGAATTGAGTGTAGTTTCTTGAAAGTTGTGATGATTGTGACACATGAAATTTTCGTTTGTTTTATGTTGAGTTCCTCACTGTTGACTAAGAATTGTATAATTTTCGTAACGCGAACAAAAGCTCTTATACCTCGCATTGAAAATATACGACTTCACCAAGATTTATTTCAATAATTCCAAACCTTATTTATATGTACTGCTAACTATTAAAAAATCGAGACCATGAAACTTGAACAGCGTCAATTACATTAGCTAAATCCACAACCACAATCCACAGTGAACAATTCAGTCACTGTCTCACGAATCACAAAGCACGTCCTCTATCGCTTTTAGATAAATTATGGCAAAATGCGCGCAAAATAGACACCTCCAACTAGGCTTGTTCTGGTTCTCTGCCCGAACTGTCAGAAAACAGTCACCCAACTGAATACTGAACATTTTGTCACGTTAACCTTTTCAGTCTACAACTGATTCACTGATTTTGGACGATTCCAAACAGTACAAACTGAGAACTTACTAATAGGACACCTACAAACTACAGTAAAGGCGCGTTCGCATATTATACGAAACCTGGGCAAAGCCATACCAATCTGAATTTCTAAAAATTCTTGTGAAAAAGTATCCCATCAATGCAACCTGCCGTTTTTTCAACAGTCCCTTGGATGTTTTGAAAATGCCTTTATACTATTGAGGAATTCGAATATTTTCTGCCTTGAAGTAATATAGAAGTATTTCACAGTTTATGTTGTTCATCATTATAATTGTTTCGTATTGTTCTATTATTTCGTTTCGTTTTGTCAATTGACCCCTAATAATAATGTTTTTAAGGACACTTTAAAATTGTAACTTCGACATGTCCTATCTGTTGTAATCGATAGTTGAAAGATAACTATTTTATTTAATATTTTTTTATGTTTATAATGGAGTTGAAATATTTGAACTTCATTGCGAATCGGATAAATCATGAAATCATAGAACATGGAAAATACAGCTTTCAAAGGTGTGCACTTTTCAGTCTTTCAAAATTATAGAACCTTTTACCATCTGTGCCGATAAAAATGTTTTTCATCATTCAATTATTTCCTAATAAATTATAAACATTTAACTAGATAATACATAATAATAAAATGAACAGTTCAAAAATAACTTTACAAAACGCTCAAAGATGCGAACTCGTTTCATCCTTTTCATAAAAGAGGATGTATGCATCTCCACTCACAAGCGATTTTGGTGAATTTGGTGACACTTGTGAATCATTGTATTCGTGCCACGTGCCATTATAAGGATGTCTGCAGAATGCTGTATAATGTCCGTTGTAGGTAGACCCACTGTGATTCGAAAGTGCATATAGATTATAGCGACAAGGAGTCACATTATCAGCTGTATAATTGTTCATATCTAATCCATCTAGAGGAAATTCAAATTATCTAAGAACAATTCGTTCAGGCCAGTCTCAACTCTCTACACAGTATAGGTTAATGGACTGACACCTATCAGAAAACAACTACTCCCCTGGCTAATACCACGAAGGGCGTTGGATTATATCCGACAGGTGTCAGTGCAGATGGGGCGACGACAAACCTGTTGTTTGTTGTATGCTTCAGCTTAGTTCGAGGAATGATACTCTGACGGAATTCGATTTTCAATTATCGTAAATCATCGACTTTATGTTGATATACACTACCTTGCACTGACGAGTGGCCAAACGGCCCGAAACCGGTCTGCAAGTGTGTTCCATATGCAGAAATAACTTCTGTGAAGAATCCTACACTGACACCTGTCGGATATAATCCAACGCCCTTCGTGGTATTAGCCAGGGGAGTAGTTGTTTTCTGATAGGTGTCAGTCCATTAACCTACTGTGTAGGGAGTTGAGACTGGCCTGAACGAATTGTTCTTAGATAATTTGATTTATAGCCAGTCTTCAAGTATGCCCACTGACTATAATTGATAGAGGAAATTCGATGGCAACATTTAACTTAATTTAACATTAATAAAAATGTTGGAGCTTGTTACTTGTCAACGATGTGCCTTTTAAAACACTGTTCCTCATATGTTTTTCAACTTTTTTTTTTGCAATATTGTCTTACTATATAAGATTAATTATTTGAGAGAAGTATCGTCACATTGTCAGTATACACTTCACAAATGATTCAGTTATTGATTCATCAATTTACACAACAATCTTGTTTCGAACGTAATCAACAGTAATATGTATTTTTCAGGTAATAACCGTTGTCAAAAACTCCGGTCAGTGGCTTCGACATAACCTAAACATGTCGATGGTCAGTAGCGGTTCAGAAGTGATTATTATTGGAACATATCTTATGTTGATTTTCTTTCCTGTCACCTGTCAAAAGTGTCAACATTAATGCATAATGTCATAAATTATAAATTTAGATTTTACAGTTTTATTTTATTTTAGATAATAATTTTTTCATTAATCATTTCATATTTGGAAATAGACTACCATGGCTACTTGGATCGGAAAATTAGAGAATCAAAACCCAAATAATGATAATTTCGAAAATATAGTGCTAACTCATGATCTACAAGACTGCCTAGAAGAAAGTTTTGACTTCAATTTCAACAATATTTACTCATCAGATGATAAAATACCAAATAAAATTGATTCTTCGAATCCCAAACAAGCTATAAAAATTAAAAATTTGGAGAAAGATGGGTGAATACTTATTTAAATTTATCTATGGAAACTTTTTCCCCCACTATTATTGTTTATTAGTTATCAATTACCTATTGCTGTCAGTTTGTTTGCTGATAAGTTCAATTTGTGTAACACCAATAAATGCTTTCAGCTGTCTTTGTAGAAATACAGTTTTTTTTGTATTCACGTAATAAGCTAGCATAGAGATTAATCAATTCAGTTCATAGACAGACAGTGATTTTTTTCAGATTCGTTCAGCACACAGTCTCTTTAGATGAAATTTATATGCAAATCAATCCTGGATCATCAAACAGAATGCCAGACAATCCATCACACGCTACCTTGACAATAACTTCGACCAATCCCCATACCAAAGAAACGACTGTGAATAGATTCAATTGTGAATATGATGGCTGCTCAAGGACTTACAGTACTGTGGGAAATTTGAGGACTCATATGAAGACTCATAAAGGTTTGTTATTCCAAAAATTCTTATAGAGGACTGCAATATTCAAAACAAAACTCATGAGGAGGAGGAATAATCATTTTGATTCGAATTCATGCTCCTCAAAGTTCTCGAGAAAATTCAGTTAATTAATTGTACTGTTTTCTTTCACATGTCTTTTGTACTCCAGACATAATTCATGCTCCTCTTTTCAGAAACATGTAGAATCAATGCTCCTCTTTTCAGAAATTTGATTCGTATGTTGAGTTAGCTTTTCCATTCAGAAAACTGCTTTTGTTTTCCTTCATATGCTCAGAAAGAGATCTTTTCACATGGTATCTTTGATAGAGGCATTAAACAAGCATTGAAAATAGAAAAATCACTCAAGATCATAATATTCATCGTAAAAGGTGTTTTCACAGTTCTGGTGTTTGGTGGAATGTTTTCGTTTAGTGCTACCTACCTTTTTGATTTTCCCACGAATATTTTACTCAACCTCAATATGTGTTTTGTTACAAAGTAGGTTATTAGCTGCTTCAAACTAGACTAACACTGAATTACAAATCAATTGCTTAAAATATATAATACCTTCCAAAAGTATTGTGGCTGAAATTACAGAACAAACTAATGTATTTCATAATCAAAATACACCAGCATGTATGACTCAATGAAAAATGGATAAACATTACTATCAACAAAATGTTTTGTTTTTTCGCTATTTCATTATTGACGTTTTAAGTGAACAAACTCAAGTTAGTAGAAGGCTATTGGTTGAAAGATTCTTAGGTGTCAATGCCAATTTTTTCAAAAGAACGCTATTTGTAAATACAAATAAATTTACATTTTGCTAACAATAATAACAACTATATCATTGAAATGCATTCAGAGATGTGTTTTACTCATTTAAAAAAGTATGAATTGATGAGAGCCCCAAAAATGACATACGTTTGGTCTAAAATTGTTTGTAATATATGACTGTGATACTGTATATATCCTCAATTTTATTATATACTGTGTTATATATGAAACTTATATTAAATAGTTGGTTGATGGGGCGGGGGTTATATCTGGTAGCAAAGTTTCAACTCTCATGGATAATCACTTGAATACTGGATACACGTTATATATAGACAATTGGTACTTAAGTACAAATTTATACCACTAAATGAGTGTTCTACTGTGAAACAAAACAGAGAACATGTCAAAGATGATGGAAAAAGTAAATTGTGGAAAAACAGACGCCTACAATTTGAAGAATCTTCTAGCCGTCGAATGGCAAGATAAAAAACAGGTGACTTTATCTAGTACCTTCCACACATCGGAGATTGTCATCACAGAAAAAAAAGATTATCGAACGACAAAACTCATTTCCAAACCAAAAATCATTGAAGTCTGTAATTATGAAATAGATGCAGTGGATTATAGTGACATGTTGAAAAGTTTGTTTGATTGTGTCTGGAAAACCATCAAATGGTATAAAAAGATTTTTTACACTGTGTTGACATGACTCTATATTAAACGCACACACAGTATATAAAATGGCAGTAATATATTAATAGCAGATTTACAGCTTCCGTTAGTTAGAGAGGTTGCTGAGAAATGTCATCTTGAGAAACCAGAGGTTTCAGTAAGATGTCAGCCATAGAAGTTTCTCCGTTGAGATTTACTGCAAGGCATTACCTGCGACACTCAGAAAAAGATGAAAATAATGTACAAAGAAAAAGGTACAAAGGAAAGAGATGTATTGTTTGTTCTAAAAAGAAGATCAGAAGAGAAAGAACGTATGGTTGCTGGCCTTGTGAAGTCGCTTTCCGTGTCGTATGTGTTTTTGAGCATTACCACAACAAAATATATCAGGACTATAGGAAGTATTGAAAAAATGTTTTTATCAATACAGTAGAAAGTTTATATTAAGTTGTAAAAGAATAAATGCTTTTTTATTGTGTGTACTTTGTCCACAGGTGTAACTTTGCCTCATTTGACCAAAAAATGATGTTTCCATGATTTCTGTTGGTGGGAAATTAAAGTGGGAAAATGGGTTTATCCACTACTAAACTACTCAGTTGATTCCCCGTTGCATCTTAGCTTTCAATGTAGTGTTGAATTTTCTAGTACACACATGCTGTATTGAATATTTATAGTTAGCAACCGCTAAATTTTGAGGAATATACAGATTCAATGTAAAAGTTTGAAGAGCCCATTTTCTTCATACTACAAAAAACTATTACAAATAGTTTTTATAGTTTTTCATACAAATAATAATGAAAATATAACTGCATGTAGTTTTTGTTAACAAAGAGGATAACTTTAACCACTGCCATTTCTGCAAGCAATCAATGTATTTATTATTGATAAAGATGGTTGAAGAACACAACACAATTATCATATTTTGTACCATTAACTATTGAAAGAGATGGATATTGGAAATACTACTCAGATAAATAAATTGGCACTAGTTTTGGGTTTTTTATGGAATCATGGTGGAAGGACCTGTATTGGCTATTCTACACTAACAATCAGAAATGTTTGTTTACTGAAAACTGCTTGAAATCACTTTTTGTATCTACTAATTCATGAAATTTGAAAGGTAGATCAGAAATATGTTTTATGTAGTGCCAATATCAATAGAGGTTAGTTTCTGTGAATTGACTCAAACTAACTGGTGAACCCCACCCATTATTTTTTTTGGTTTTCATTAATTTTTCTGCTTTTTTAAATATAAATGATTTGATGAAGTCTGTTATATTCTTTGATTTGAGTTGTCCATGAATTGTCGAAATTTATTTGTTGGTAAGAGTCTTAAAAGTTAAAAGTGTTATGCATTGACTGCATCGAATTTCATGTGTAAAATACTCGAAATGTTGACAGTGGCATACGGTGAACTTTCTCTGAGTCAGAAAAATGTGTACAAGTGGTACGAGCTTTTCACAGAAGGTCGAGAAGATGTGAATGACGGCACTCGCCCTGGTCGCCTCAGCACAACAACATCCGATGAAAATGTTGAGAAACTGAACAAAATTGATATGGAGAATTGTCGAATCACTATATGAGAAGTTGCTGAGGATGTCGAAATATCGGTTGGCTCATGTCATGCATTTTTTTCGAAAATTTTGGGCATGAAGCGTATGGCAGCGAAGTTCGTTTCAAAATTGCTAAATTTTGAACAAAAAACCGTCGCATAAGCATCGCACAGGAATTGTTGAATGATGTCAACGGCAATCTAGATTTGCCTGAAAGAGTCATAACTGGTGACGGGTCATGGGTATATGGTTATGACATCGAAACCAAAGTCCAATCGTTCCAATGGAAAAGCCCAGACGCGCCAATACCAAAAAAGCAAGATAAGTTCCATCAAATGTCAGGGTTTTGCTCAGAAGGTCTTGCCATATGGTCCTACGGTATATACGGAATAGTATCTTGAAGCTATGCGCCTCTTGCCAGAGGCGATACGAAGAAAATAATGCATGGCTTTTTCTTTACGATAAAACATCTGCTCACTCTCGTCATTGCTTGTTCGGCCGAAAACTACACCGTAATCATGCCTCAGCCACCGTATTCACTAGATTTGGTCCCCTGCGACTTTTTCCTATTTCCGAGATTGAAGAGAGCCATGAAAGAAAGGCGTTTTGCAACCATTGAGGAGATACATTTCAAAAAGAGCATATCAGAACCGCTTTGAGGATTAGAAAAACGCCGAGGGGGACTACTTTGAAGGAAACAAAACAGGAATTGATGAATAAATGAATATTTCTCGAGAAAAATTAAAATCCACCTTATTTTTTTGAAAAGGGAGTGTATGTATATACAGTTCCACATAATTTCGGAAAGAACCGAAATTCTCCAATCTCATTATATTTTTTCTGACTTCTTTTGAAAATATATTGATAAAAAAAAACACCGTCTCAATGTCATTTCTTAAGCCGAACAAGATGGTGTGTGGGGATTTTTAATGAAAAGTTTCCGAGGCGAAATATACATAATTTTTTTAATATGGATCGGCAAAAATAATCACTTAGTACAAGTTAGCTTCATCTGCTACAACCTCAGTGACGTACCAATCAAATTGGAATTATCTAAACTATCAAACGTGATTCAAATAAGCTCCAAAATGGACAACTTTTCAGGCTCTTATGTCTCCGATTTTCCAATGTGGTCGCCCTTGGACAAGGGGTTAGTTTTCACGTAGAAAACTAGTTGACAATATCAAAAGTTTCATTCAAGTTGACTCGTTTTTGCTGATATCTGTTGACAAAATCTTTTGAAATTCGTTTTTCCGTTAAGTAGCTGTCATCCCCTACGAACGATAACCCTCAAAAGTCGGAATTTGTATGAGCTACTAATTAACGAGGTCTTACATTTAGGTGTTAGTGTGTTAGGAATCACACGTTAAAAGGTAAGACCTCGTTAGTCCTTAGCTCGCACAAGTTTCTCAATTTCTGATTAACAGAAAAACAGATTTTTTAAACAGATTTTAAACGTTGAGCAAACCGGCCATCGGGTGCCTGCTTCCATGTAGTCTCGCTAATGTTGAGAAAATGTTTGTTTTCGAGACTTTTTGTATTTTTTCTACATGTCCCGTTCCCGTCAATTTCAACTGCGGTAGCTCTTTCGCTCGAGCCACAATCAGATTTGTTCCATATAATTCATAATACTCGAGACAGTCAAGACTTTCAGTTCCAAAATATTGGAGGTTATATAGTTTATGATAGTTATAAAAATATCAAAAAATATTCTCTTTCATCATGTAATGGCTTCAGCTACTAAGACTATAACGTATTGACTGAATTCGATTATTCAATTGTCAGTTGTTAGCTTCGAGTGCTGACCACTGCCTCTTCTTCTTCAATATTTTTTTTCAACATTGATTATTTGTAGAAAATTCCGCTACTTTATGTTCAAATCCGCAACTCTTCTACCGTAGAGTAAATTCCGCTACGGTAGCGGAATTCCGCCACGGTTGGCAACTCTGCGCTGGAGACCGAATCAGGTTTATAGAGTTCGGCAGAGTCGTACTCTTATTAGCATCT